CGATTTTCTCGGTTAAATTAAGAAAGTTGATTGACTTAATTTATCCCCTGGTTAAATTAAAACTTGCCGTTGATTGATTTTCGATTGTAATGACTTACTTTTTTTTTTTTATCCAATTTACCTATTGCTGATGGTAATGATTTCCGAAATTTCCGAAATTACCGATTGTAGTTGATTGTACTGATTTCCGAAATTGCCAATTGTGTTTGACTTGGGTGGAATTAAAGACTTGATTGTAAAGACTTGCCGTTGGTTCGGTGAGTATTTCCAAAATACAAATGGGTGATTTATGAAGTTGTCGTTGATTGGGTGAGTGCTATAATGGAAATACAAATCGGGTAAGGCAAATTTGCCGTTGATTGAAAAATACAAATTGTTGAAACAAATTTATCTCCCTCTCCCTAATTATTTATCTCTCTCTCTCTCCCTAAACATTTTCTTTCCAGTTCCGTTTTCTGTCTCCCTAACTCTCGCCCTTTCTCCAATTCTCTCACCACAGGTATGGCTCTTTACTTCGTTTTTTTCCAGTTCTTCATGTGTTTTTTTTTTGTCTCCCTCTCTCTCCCTAATCGTTTCTCTTTATCTTTCTCTCTCTCACCCTAAACGTTTTCTTTCCAGTTCTCTTTTCCGTCTCCCTGACTCTCGCCCTCTCTCCAATTCTCTCACCATAGGTATGGCTCTTTATTTCGTTTTTTTCCAGTTCTATTTGTTAAGTTCAACTCCAAAAAAATTCGATTACGTTGGGTTCAAATCGGAGTGACGGCTGTACTGACTAAAATGTTTGAATCTTTTTTCTTTTTTGAGAACATACCAGGAGGGAGATGGTTTCAATTTGAGCAATCCAAAAGTGCATTGGTAATGAAGAAGTTCATTCCATAGGATTGAAATGAAGAAGGGTTTTTTTTTACCCTCACAATAACACAGAATTTGGTAAAAGTTTAATCATGATTGCCCCCACATGATGAATTTACTTTTATTCTATTCATTTGGTTATGACATATATTCTACGACTTTCAAGTTATTTGTCATCATCCAAATCATGCATAGCACGGGTCTTATGAGATTTCCAATTGAACAAAAATGTTGAACATCTATACAATCCCGTGCTATGTACAGCTCACTACAAAATATTCAATTCAATTTTCAAAATTGTGAATTTTTTTATTATCGCAAAAAATTTGCAGGATTTTGAGTCAAAACATATGAATAAAATTGACGTACTAAAGGAAATACGTAAACAGTAAACAGTAACGAAAGGAAATACAAATATTATACCAAATAGGATTTCTTGCGCCATCGTCGGCATCCGCAATAAATCATAATAGGTATGAGATTACATGTCCTTTCTTTTCCTAAGATTTGTATTATTGTACAAGAGAACAAGAAGATTGGCCATATTTACACCCTAAAATTAAGGAGATAAGACTGGTTTTGAAGCCGACTCTAGATCTTTAGAAAGTCTAAAATCAAAATGACAGAGAAGAGAACGATGAGAGACATATTTACAGAAAATTGTAAGCAATTGGGGTGTTTACTTGAGGCTAGGGGCATTTTTTTTTTATGTCTTTTAATATCTACCGACATAGGAAAAGAAAGAGTGCAAAACTAATTAACGCCCTATTCTTTTTTCTTTTTCTTTTTTTAACGGCAACACCCTTTCTTTCTTTCTTTTTTTTTTGCAAGAGTAACACATGGAATAATTGTAAACCTTTATTTTTATTTTTTTAGAACATGTGTTGTTACTAACACTCTTTTAAACGTTACCATATATGCATCAATGCAAATATTATGATGTTAACTAAACACACCGCAAACTGGAGTTTTGTGTTTCTTTTTTTTCTTTGTTTTGTTGTCACTCATTTAATATTATGGGAGTCTAGATATATCTTTAAAACGTTTTCTGTTGTTATTCCCATGATAACTTTTGACTATTACTCTCTTTCAAATCTTAGATAATTTCTTGAGACTTTAACTAATCATGGACAATCTAAGCATCTATGGCCATGTGAGTTGAACCGTTTCATTATATACCTTGGTCGTAATAATCAAATTAATTGTTTCCTATGCATTCGGTGAATTCTTCATTTTCTTATGCAGCTCGACGGTAACTTGCAGAAAATGTAAGAACTGTTTACTCAATTGCATTGCTTAATCTGACTTTATATATTTGATTCATATTTGCTTTGTTTTATTTTTTCAGTACAAAGGTTACGTGTCTTCAAGAAAAAAATGTAATTGTGGTGATTCATGATGAGCAAGAAGTTAATCGTATTTTTATGCATGGGGTATGCCGACCAATGCCATTATTACTTTACTCCCTCTGTACTGTAAGGGGTCAACGAATTGATAAAAGGGATGTGGTGCCATACAATACATACCTTTCGAGAAAATATAATTCTCATATCAATATGGAAGTTTGTCCTGGAATAAAATCTGTTAAGTATATCCACAAGTACATCTACAAAAGTCATGATCATACCATGATGGTGTTGAGAGACGAATAAACGAGATCTAGAATTAAGGTAACTATTATTAGTCATCATTTTACTTTTACAAGAAGGGATTCTTGCTCATTAATTATTTTTTTAGGCTATTATTCATGTTCCTAATTGTGCTTTTTGGATGAAGTAGATATGTGTTGGTACAAAAACTCTTGGGAGGCAGATGGGGAGACAAATTTCAAGACAATAAGACCTATGTTGAACACTTTTCCCCCTACATTTGTGTATCAGATTTGACTCTATATAGATTTTTAGATTTTTTATGCATGTTAAAATTGGATTCTATGAATGCAACATGGTATTAGTTTTGAGTTTTATGGTCTGGATTAATATAGTGCAGTGTGTATCCTATCAATGCAATTAACTCGGTATATCTGATTGGGATTATCATTGGTGGTGATGTACACACGGGTAGGGGCTTAACAAATAAAACTTTTTGTTGCAGAGTGCTGCAAGCATGAGTAATTAGCATATCAAAATTTTGCAACAACAAAAATATACCATATTTTATTTTGTTCCTACCCGTTTTTTCAACATGTCCTCCATTTGCTCATTACTCGATCCGTAGCTTTAGTTGTCTTCAAAGCAAAAGCATCCGAAAAAGGATTCAACTAGTATATATATATATATATATATATAGAGAGAGAGAGAGAGAGAGAGAGAGAGAGACGTAGGATCTCCCAAGGGATCCTAAGTGTCATGTTTTGATAATCTCTTTGAGTCCAAAAATTCAAAAGGGCAAATCGGATTTCCAGTTTTACTTTATTTTATTTGGGAAGCCAATTATTGGAAAAGCCTAATTAGAAACGAAAGCAAAACAACGATAGCTGATGATGTCTGTTGGGAAATCAAAACAAAAGCAGTCACTTTCAAGATACATCAACTTCGTTCTAATCTCCCCCTCCAAACGCCTCTCTGAGTGATTTAAATAATGGATACGGGCGGAGCCAGGATCTTTATTCGAAGGGACCGAATTGACAGAACTAACTTAATATCAACAGAAACACCCACTATCATTCTATATGCTTTTCTTCCGCATATAATACGTCGTATATAATTCTTTAGCCGTTTACTTTAGTAAATTGATGATAAGTAACATTACCAAAAAAATAGATGATCAGTACGAATTGACGACCGACCAATGCAACCACAGCTTGGACTAAGGTCCGCTCGGACTACGGGTCGCCGTGCACGTGTCGTAAGCGTAGAGGCTGGACAGAGCACTTCTAGAGAAACTCCAGGAGGGCAAGGACTCCTTGCAGGCTTGCGGCTAGTATCTCCTAGCCCATGGGAAAGTTCTTATCCCCATGGGAATCACCAATCCAATAGAGGTTTGGGACCACAAGGGTGGTAGCCTAGTTGGCCAAAGTGAGTGGGATCCGTTCTCTCCTTTCATGTGCATGGATCTCGGTTCGAATCCCACCCATGTCACTGTTGGGTCTTTATATGGATTTGCATGGAGGGCTTTTGGCCAACTAGTCATCTTAGTAGTGCTGTGGTGACGGTTTGTCCTTCCGGACAGTAGCTATGGCTCGAACTAGACGTTTCACAGCGGGTAGGGAACCCCTATGGTCACGCCTAAGGGAAGTCGCTACGCTGATCGCCCCCTCCCACTCTTTTTGTTTATAAAAAAAAAAATCGAGGTTAGGGAAGCTAAGGTCATTGGACTCAACCATTGCCATCCCTTATCTAAGGTTTAAAGGAACTAACTCCTAAATAAAATGTCCATAAAATCACTCTCTTGATGGAAGGGGTAAGGTACAAGCCCAACTCTTGCCAGCTTGAATTCTTTATCTTCTTCCTTCCACACTACAAATCGACTGATTTAGGTATTGGAGGGTTTGAATGGCACACTCCAGTGTCCTCAGTTATTGTTTGCAGGATCATTTATCGAGCGTGCCAAAAATTTCTTAATCAGTAGAATATCCATATCCTCGTGTTTGGCTATATTTTATGGGGGGGAAAATAGTAATTAAGAGATACTTTGGCATGGTAAATTTTTTGGAATTGAGAATTAAATTTAACTTTGTTTACAATTCTAGAGTTCAGTTTTCTATTACGAAGAACACAATTACTAAAAGGTATATATGTTAACCTAGGATGTCAAGGGCCCGTCAAGTCACCGCCACACACAACTTCGTTCTTAGATACAGCTCGTTCAATCCTGAACTAAGCGCACTATCCAAGTCATTTGTGAGTCTTTTTCAAATCCTCTTTCATCATAAATCGTTCATTTTTTAAATCACGTGGAGCAAATAAACTATGCAAGAGATTGGTAAACATCAAATAAATCAAGAAACACGAAACGTGGACAGTGCCAAGACAATGATAGCTGATGTCTGGTGGGAAAAATAAAACAAAAGCCAGCAGTCATTCTCAAGCTACACAAACAAACTTGGTCTGATCGCGCCTTCCAAACGCCTCTTGAGTGAATTTAATACTACGAAGCAAATCGCCATTGCAAGATGTGACCTAGCAGACTTAACAGCCAATCAATTGGGGTTAGTTCAATTGGTCAGGACTCTTGTATTTTATTAGGAGGTCAAGAGTTCGAGTCTCTCCAGCTGCATGTGGGTGTATTCTTTCCTTAGAGGATTTTTCCTTTCTTTCTTTGTTCTCTGTGATCTCTTCTATCGATAGAGACAAAAAAAAAAAAAGGGACTTAACAACAACAATATATAGCATAATCGAACCCATTTTTGTTTACAATGAGAATGTAATAATGTATGGAAGTACTATTTGAAAATAGTCCATTTAATCTCGGGGATTGATTTTTGCACTCCTCAAATTGATGTGTGAAAATCAATTGCACTCCTCAAATTGATGTGTGAAAATCAATTTAGGATTGATTTTTGCACTCCCCCAATTGTTAACTTTTGGGGAGTTTGAAAATCAATATGAGTTGATTTTCGCATTGCCTTTGGAAGAGTGCGGGTAAACAATTTAGGGGGTGCGAAAATCACTCCCCAACCTCTCGTTAAGTATGTCATTCCGGAAGTGAGACGGTAGATAAGTACCCTGGCTACTTCTAACATTCCTAAACATATTTCCTGCCCAAGTCTCTAAAATTACTCTCTCCGTTCGTAAATGATAGTCCACATTGAGATCTTTAATTTGGTTCAAAAATTGCACCTACAATTTAATTGGTGGACTATCATTTGAACAAGGAGTGAATACAATTTAAAAAGAGGACAAAGAGAAGTGCAATCCAAATACTGTAAGTATTTATTTTCTTCTCTATTTCAGGAAAACACAAACAATATTTCATTAAGTGAACTATTAAAAAGATTTTAAATTTAAACCATTACTTTTATATAACGACATATTCAGTTAGGGTTGGCAACGGAACGGGGTGAGTGTGGATACCATTGTCCCCGTCCCTGAGCCTCAAACTTATATACACTCCGCGTTCCCGTCCTGATCTCCGCAGGAGGAATTTTTTTTACTCTTCATCCCTGCCCAAAGCGGCGAATAGGAATCCCCGAGGGAATCGAAGATCCAAACCTTTAAAAAGAACGCTTGCATTGTTTCACACAATTTTCTCACAAAATCCAAAAACAACGCGTCCATTTTCTGAACATTTCTTTTCCACCATAAATACATTATATTATAGCAACGAAAATGTCCAAACGAAAGAAATACTAACTCATTGCCACCCAAAAATTAAATATGGTATTTGTCTATTTGAACCTCTATGTTCCAACTTAAGAGGACCGAAACTATTCTTCTAGCATGACAAAAGCTACATGTAAGAACTCAATGAACACTATTGGGTGTAAGAAAATAAAAAAAATGAGCACTTTAATGGTGTAAGAAAATAAAAGAATAATAGTATGTAAAAATATATATTTTTGGTTTGAAAATGCGCAAAAATTTGGAGAAGACATTTAAATTGAGACGAATGCAATATGTATATGTAGTACGAGTACAAAATTAGGAAAAATGATGGCCAATGACGTGTTTTGATAATTAATATCTGTCAATAATATTTTCAGCATTAATAAATGCTTTCAACATATTTTTTACGGGTATTAATTATCAAAACACGTCATGGGTCGTCATTTTCCCGTAAAATTATATATACAGGGAAAACGGGGATTTTGGGGGGCGGATCTCTAAATAAATTTCCAACCCGTGGTCGCTGGCGGTCGGACCGTCGAATGTGTTTTGGACGGTCTAGATTTATTCTCTCACTCGACCACACCCTCTCCCCTCTTTTTCTCTCTCTTAAATCAGAACCATCTAAAACACGATTGGACGATCCAGATTGCCAACGGAATACCATGTGGACAATATCCGACCAGAACTTTCCCGGTACATAGGATCAGATCGGACGAAAGGGCCATCCGTAGACGATGTTGGATTCACTTGTACTCCGTAGTGTACTTACGCTAAAACTCGCCTGAGCCCACAATCCACATCATCGGGAAATTTGGAATTGGCCAAGATGTACTAAATACACAGTCACATTTATTTAAGTATGCGAGGGTGTTGGAGCGGTTTGGGACAACATGTGTGACCACTGGATAGCTACTCGCAAAAATAAAAATAAAAATAGTTAAAAAAAGAAGAGAAAAATGTACACATGTTCACGAGCACACAGCCCCCAAAAGATTCCCTGCGTCGAGGCACTTTTGTCATACGTGTGGCATCACATCTACTTTTAGATCTGTGTGTTTGTCCCCTTTCCCCGTCAAAGCCCACTATTTCTTCCTCCCCCCTCCCTAATTGTGCAAATTCCACTCACACCCCTCCACTTTTGTTCCTTTGACAGGTTTCCCATCTATGCATGGGTGGAAAAGTTAACGTTTCAAGTTTCATTCAGAATTTAGGATCCTGAATCCTAAAGGAACCCTAAATTTTGAATGAAAAATTCCTACTTGACCTAAAAAAAAAATTCTGAATAAAAAGTTTGAATATTGGATTAACCATTTACGCATATCTAATGGAGATGATTTTATGTAGGGTAACTCGAATTATTTTAAAATTAATGAATGATTTGGGTATTTCGTTTGGGGCCTACTTGGGCCCAAACGCAGCAGTACATTTAACAGTATCCCATTTTTTTGGTACCACTTTTCTGGGTTTAAATTTGAATTGATAGGAACCACCACTGACGAGAGAGAGAGACGTTGGAAATTAAAGGTAGATGGAAAAAACAGAGATGGATGAACAAGGCCTGGTGACAATTGAAAAATGAGATTGCTTTTCTTGTGTTGTGGCCTTGTGTTGCCTTTGCCCCTCTCACTCTGCACTTCAATCTCCGACTATTTGTGTTACCATATATTTCCTTCGTCTCCATTCTTTAATCTCTTTTTGGTATTTTAACTTAATAAGAAATAATAATTGCATGTTTGATCACATGATTTTTCAATTTTACCCTTGAATCTTCCTCTTCTCTTTTTAGTAGAACTGATTTTTAGAAAGGGTAAAATAAAAAATCCCTCAACTTTTAGCCATTTAGTTCTCAAATGGGACAAAAAAATTGAAAAAAAAAGTGATACGAAGTAATTAGGACTACAGAATGGGAACGGAGGAAGTACTAGTTTTGCATGGTTAAAATTGCAGTCTGATAAACATGTGCAAAGCGACGATTTCTCCTTTTTATCCAAATCTTCAACGGCTGACATTTGCATCTAACTGTTGGCTAACGGCTCCGTGTAAGTGAAAAGTGAAAACAAACTACATCAGGGGAGAATGTTTATAAGAGAAAAAACCTCCAGGGGTGTTGGGTGAAATTTGCCCAGAGTACATGCATGTAAATACATGCCCCCAGAGCAAGCAAAAAATCTAGAGAGAGAGAGTTTAAAGTGGGCATCACTCAGCATCACATGGGTATTGGTGGATAGGACCCACACAAGCTGGCAATAGATAAATAGGTAGGACCCACGTGCGGTGTCAGCATCCATGTGACAATGTGCCTCTCTGCCTTTTGTGGCCCTTCCTCCTTTCCCCTCCACCACAGGCAGAAAAGAGAAAGGGAAAAAGACAGGGACCCACCTCATTTTAAAAGGAAACAACTGCAGCAAAAAGACAAATTCTTCACGAAAATATGAAAACCACTACACAAACGAGAGAGAGAGAGAGAGAGAGAGTGGGAGGTTGCCAATCAGATTTGAAAAAGACCCCTTTGTTTCTCTTCTTTCTCAAATTTCCTCTTTTCTGTCTATTGATGAAATCTAAGGTTGATACTCTGTATTACAACAATAGTAAACAGCAAGTTACGGTAGGAACTACCATTTCTTTGAACCTAAAAAAGGCTAAAAACTTACTACTAACCAATATAACTGAGCTGAAAATCTATCTTTTTTTCCTTTCATTTGGACCCTCTTGAACTTCCAAACTTCTTCCCTTTTGGGGGCACCAAATCAGCCTTGTAGTTACAACCATGATTTGGAACTGCTGCTGCTGCTGCTGCTGCTGCTGTACATTAATTTTGGTCTTCCTAAAACAACATGCAATAAACAAAACGCTACACTTTGGGACTATGACACTCATATGGGGAAAGGAAAATAATAACCGGCGAGAAAAAGGCAAAGAAAATAACCAAGTCCCCAAGAGTTACTGCTACTGCTACTACAATTACTACACATTGATATTTGATTGCTTGTTTGGTTTTCTGTGACGTTTTCTTGCTTCTTTTTTTTTTTTTTTTTTTTTTATACCTGTGGTCCAACTTCAGCTAGAGAAAAAAGTGACGGTGGGAAATAGTACAACAGAGGGAGGAACTGAATGCTGGCCCACTTCTTTTACTGGCTCTTATGTATGCATTTGTATCTTAGTAGTATATGGTATGGTGGTGAATGTGGCGGCGGCGGCGGCGGTGGCGGAGGTGGTGATTTCTCTACAGATCTTGGTTTTGGTTACTTCTTTTCAATCTTCCTGTGAAGCAAAAAAACACAAAAGAAAAAACCCAAAAACCAAGACATCACAACCAAATTGGTTGAAACCAATAAAATAGATTATATTATAGGTTAAAAATAATGCAGGTATGATTACTCACCTAAAAAGCTAAAGGAAGCTAAAACCCAAATGGGCCCTACATTCCAATGGCTCCATGGCTATTAGAGAACCTGAAATCATAACCTTGGCTGAATATATTATACTACACAACACTGAGAAAGCTATGTTTATTTCCAGAAAAGTGGAGGGAAAAAAAACAGTACCTTGGCACTTGAAAGTAGCAGGATTTGAAAGAAGCCATGTCCAGAGTGGAAGTGGCAGGAAGTAAGGATGAAGTGATCAAGTGATTGTTAGCAGGCTCCAGCGGAACCACGACGCTCTTTCCGGCAGCCTCACCGGCGGCAGTGTCGGAGAAGGCGGTGCTGTAGTCTCCGGTGGCTTTAGGAGATGCAAATGGGCTATCAGGTAGATTGTGTTCCAACAAGCTATATCCAAACACCAGCATTTTGGAAAACAACCGATTAAATCAAGACCCAAAATAGAATCAATCCAGAAAAGCCACACCATCACAGAATTTAGCAGAATCACATAATTAAGGCAAATCTACAGAACAAAATGAGGCATGCCATTATGGGTTGACATTCTGTTAGATTTTTGAACACCAAA